ACTGTACTGTGTGCTTGTGCTTACCACTGATTAATGCAATACAAGTAGCCTTTTGCTAATTCGTGTGCCTTCGTGTTGCCTTTGTGTGTGTGTTTGCTTTGTTTCGTAGGCTTACTCGCCCATTTCGAGTGCCGCACGGGGCCCCAACGATTACCCCCGTGACAATATGGCAATTTTTGAACAGTGTGATCGGAAAGAAATGCCAGATGGCAGTGCTTCATATGGCAATTTTTGGGCAGCAGTGCAATGATGTTTCTCAAATATACAGTACAGCTCTTTATTATTGTGGATACACTTTTTTGTAATTCCTAAAGTTTTTTTTCTTTTGTATAGTCGGATGTTTCGGTAGCATAGTTCTTGCTGTGCAGTTGTGGGGGTGTAAAGTCCTTTTGATTCTTAATACAATAAGTTACCTTAAAGTGGTCTCCATTCCTATCACATAGGATGCCAAATGCACCAAATCCATTTCTCTCATCTGGCTCCAATTCTATGGGCAACATCCTCCTCAATATCTCCCTTGATATGGATTACCAAACCAAGTTGACAAAGAGGTCACATTCAGATGTTTCTTGGTCCCTATTCCCCAATCTGCTTCAACTATATGTGGAATATTGAATGTTTTGCTTAGACATTCTCTCTCACCTAAATTCTCTAGTAATCTGGCTATTCTATATAATTCTGACATGTGATCTAGTTTTTGTTTTAAAGAATTAAATTCAGATGGTCAAATAGAGTCCAGTTTTTAACACCTTGGAACCTACTTTTGCTGCAAGTGGTTGTGAAATAAATCATGCTTCCTCAAGGTTTTTAATCTGTAACTGATTCACAAAACAATTTCTGTCTCATCCAATCAATTTGCTGTCTCCATTTCATGTTCTAATTCCAACCATTCAATTTCCTTGCACTCAGTTGCTGGTTGAACAAGATCTATTCTACATCTCATGCATCTAGGTAATCTTGGATAAATCTAAATCATAGTTGGGATATCGGAAGTGTTTTATAGATTGTTGAATTGATTATCAGTTGTAACCAGTGATTTAGAAAGTGCACAGGCAAGGAACATTATAGGGTATGCACCTTGCCTAAGTCCCGGGCAGAGTATTTTCAAAAGGTGCATGCCTGGTGCGCCCTGCACTTCAGCCTAGGCATGTGCCTTTTGAAAATCTGTGCATTTTCTGTTTTTTGTGTTCGCTCGCTTTGTTCACTCACTGAAGCTCTGAATATTTGCTAATGTTGCTCATCCATTCATTGTAATAAAAAAATATCTTTATAGGGATTAAGAATTTAAGACCCTAATATCTTTATAGGGGCTTGGTACAAAGGCGGCTCATAGAATAAAGAATGCATAATGTTTAACATCACATTAGCTTTTTGATGTAATGCAATTGGGAAGAAAATAAAGAGATTAAGAGTTTACATTTGAATACGTTTTATATGTAAAGCTAGGTTTTATTTTTTCATCAGGCAACTTTGAGAAGGTTTAGGAATAGAATAGTAGCCTTGAAGGATGAGAATGAGAATTGGATCAGAGCCAAGACTAAATCACAAACTCATAATGAACCATTTTGTAGAGTTGTTTAACTCCTCTAACCCTGGTTTAGAAATGGAAATCTTAAAGGTAATCCAAGAGAAGGTTAGTAAAGATGACAACTTGTGGCTGCAAAGATAAATGGAAGATGAGGAGATTATGGAAGCCCTGTTCCAAATGAGCCCCCATAGTAATTTTGAAGGATGAGAATAAGAATTGGATCACAAGCCAAGACCAAATCACAAAATTTTGTAGAGTTGTTTAACTCCTCTAACCCTGGTTCGGAAATCGAAATCTTAAAGGTGATCCAAGAGAAGGTTAGTGAAGAGGACAACTTGTGGTGATCCAAGAGAAGGTTAGTCCCATGCCCACCCTCCATTTTTTTACACAAAATCCCCTCCATTAGATCAGAATTTTAGTTTGACCCACTTAAACCCAAAATTGCCAAAATACCCCCGTAAGATCCAAAAATTAGTTTACCACCCTTATACCCTAATATAAATTTTAACCTTTCTTTCAATTTGAACTAATGGTCTGAATCTACTATTCAACACCTTTCTCTGACACTACAGTGACCAAACTGAAATCTCCCCTTCCCTGAATACTCAAATCTTATTCTTTCCATCTCTTGCTCAATCTCTTTCTTTTTTTTTCTCTTTCTCTCTTTCTTACAAACACACCGTCTCTATCTCTGTCTCTCTCCCTTCCCTTTCCCCCATCTCTTTATTTTCTTCTCGGCGCATCCCTTGTTTCTAGCCACTGCCAAGAACAATGGTGGCATTCTTCCTCCTATTTTTGTCTTTTTATTTTCCCTCACCTCACTCTATCTTTTTCTTTCTCCTCGTTTTCTCTCTCTTTATTTCATTCCTTCACCTCCCGACTCCCCTGTCTGCCATAGCATAGGACTATCAACAAACATCTGTTAACTAGACTTGTCTCCACCTGATTCCATTTAGAATTGAATACCACCCCAGCCACCACTGCTAATTTAATTTCTCCTAATCCTCTATTGACTATCACCTGGTTTGGAATAAAGAGCAAAAATAGTAACATTAGACTGCATTTCTCACCATAGATTGAGTAGGCTACATCAACGAGCAATATCAGGATCGAGAGATCTCAGTTCAAGCATCATTTTTCAATTGATTGAGGTCATTCAAAGCCGATTTACTGGTTTGGAGATCTATTTTATACAACTGTCAGTATCTGGTATCTATCTAGTGATTTCTGAGTCTGGTATCTGCATAGTGATTCACAATGAGCTGATCTTCATCTTTTATAATTCCTTAGTTTTTCTTTCAGTTTGTTTTGGCTTTTCGGTTATGATTTGGATAATCTGAATGATAATAGCAATAATAAAATGGATGACATAAATCTCTAGTCAGGCAAGATCTGGTTTTGTTTTAGTTTCTATTTTCTGTTTTTATCAGTTCTATTGTTATATGGTGTATTTTTCTTATTCTAGTGTGATAGGTTCAAATGAAATTGATCCATTTGTGTTTTGAGGGAATAGAAAGGATTCATATCTGTATACATATATGTGAGAAAAATTTGACATGAAGAAAATTTTCAGTAAAAGATGGTTAACCAAATCAAGTTCATTGTCAATAAGTTTAATTCGATGTGTAGTTGTTCCTATTTCATGTAGAGGCTTAATCTCAACCCTCATCTCTTTTGAAATAAATGAATAAAAGCAGAACCACAATACACTTATGCAGCAATGATAATAATAATAAATAAATGATAATAATGACAAAAATAGTATAAGAATAAGATTACATGTATTTACAAGTAAGAGAATAAAGTGAACAATAATATGTGCATTCAAAGACAAAAACAAAAATGAATGAATTGACAAAAATGGTATTAGAATGGCAATGATGTAGTAGAAGTGCTAATAAAATAGTAATATAACAAAAATAATAAAGTAATAATAGAATATTAAAATATTAATAAACTAATACAAAATTAAAAAAATTTTCAGTTGATTCCGATTCCAACTTCAAATGAACCACACAGCAATGATTGGAATCTGACTCCAATTTTCATTTGAACCAAACAGGCGTCGGGAATAGGTGATTCTGGTTCCAATTGCAGGGGATTCCGATTCTGATTCCAATTCTGATACTGGCTGTGAACCAAATGGACCCTAATTTATTTTCAGGTACCACTCAGAACTCTCATTTTCATCTAAAGTGAAACCAATTCTGACTGTCATCATAAGAGGGAATGAGTTCATTTATTGAAATCCAGAAGACCAAAATGCAATTATTTCATTCCAGGTGTTCCAACACTACACTGCTAAATGGTTAACAAAACATTCAGTCACTCAAAATGACTGTGAAAGCAAAGAGAAAAAGAACCTTAGAGCAAATAATCAAACTATGATTGTGAAGTTCAACAATAAAACTTAAAAAATGCATTGAAGTGGTTAAAGAAGAAAACATAATCAAGACTGAGTAACAACATGTACAGTTAAAAGAAGCGAACATAATGATTAGAGATAAATATTGGAGTATTAAAAACAACAACAAAAACAGTTCAAAAAGAAAAAAACATAAATATCAGTTACCTTAAATTATATCAACGTCTGCTAGTTTTTCCAATGGAGCGCTTCCCAGAGAATAAGTGCTTGGGTTTCAAAGTTGGAATGACCCTATCTGCCTCTCCCCGCCGAGCATCCTTGTTCCTTTTCTTGACAGATTTCTTAGCAAGTTTTACAGCTTTCACTTTCTGTGCAGAATCCTTAAAGCCCTCTCCTGGAACAACATCACTAGGTGGGTGTGATCTTGATCTAGTTCTCATACGTAGCTTCTTGCTAGGTAGATCAGCATCCATATCCATAGCATCACCATCATTATCTTCCCTGGACAATGATCGCTCTCTCTTCCGGCCCCTCCTAGAGACAGACCTGCTGTGTGCCCGGTTAATGGCTGAAGTGGGGTCAAGCCCCAATGCAGACAGCTGCCTCCCCATCCTCTCTGATGTGAATTTCATGTCTTTATCAAATTTTCTTGGTATAGTAGGCCTACTCTCTGCAGTGCTCTTCTTGATCCTATGATGTTGAACGAGCAAGCTTTTTTTCTTCCTAATTTCGGCCAAGGCTTCTTGCTCTTCTGGAGTTAACTCCTTACCATCCATCTCAAAATCATCATCATCGGCTTCCTGTTCAAGCCGGAGCCCCTCTTCCCTCTCCAACTCCTCAAGTCTATGCAAGATGTCTGGATCAATAAAGTCTGCGACATTGTGACCATCATATATTTCTGGCATTATATCTTCTTTCCATTCATCATTTGCTAAGATATAATTCTTCCTCAAGTTAGCTGAGTAAACACCAGCCCCACCATTCTCATTCTCCAAATCTTTTTCAACTTTCCTCTTCTCTTTTTCTGTTGCTGCCTTAGCTTTGGCTTCCAAAACTGCCTGTGGAATACAAGGTAGCCTTTCCTTCTGATCCCGTGGCTTTGGGATTGCAACATGAAAACGATTCAGGCAATCATTCATCTTCTTTGACTTCATCTTTAATTCTACACGTTGATTCAATAGTCTCTCACAGGCTGCATTCTTCACAGCTATGACTCCATCCTCGGTCAAAGTACTCATAGTCAAAAGGACACCATCATCATTAATAGCCTCACCACCTTGACCTATAACAGTTTTCATAGCTTCATCTTTCATCTCCATGACCAACTTCTTGTCTTCATCAGAAAGTTCATCAAATGGCTGCAGATCTGTCTTGTTGCAGACAATAATTAGTGGTTTGTTCATAAACAATGACTTGATATTGTGGAAAAGAACAGCCTGCTGAGCAATGCTGTACCCACAAGACCCAGATATATCCAGGAAAAATAAGACAGCAGCTCGAAGGTGGGCCAGAGCAGTGATGCTGCACATCTCAATGATGTTACGATCCTCAAAAGGACGGTCCAATATCCCTGGAGTATCAATCACCTGGTATCTTAAGTATTTATAGTCAGTATGACCAACAAAGAGAGACTTTGTGGTGAATGCATATGGCTGTACATCCACATCAGCTCTAGTGATCTTGTTGATAAATGAGCTCTTGCCAACATTTGGATACCCACAAATCAAGATTGTCCGGGTGTTTGGGTCAATTGAAGGTAGCCTTGCCATGTGTTGTCTTATCTGCTCTAGGTAGGCCAAGCTAGGACCAATACGTTTGATCACCGTACACATGCGTCCAAGTGCCGCAACCTTCAGACATTTGCATCTATAGAGTGAATCACCATACTTCAACAGCCTAACATAATCCTTTGCAATCTTACCAATGAGATTCCTTGCAGTGTTGATCTGGCTTAAAGCAAGCTTATAGTGATCTTTATTATAAAGCACATGGAGAAGGTCTCCATAGAATGGATGTATGTCATCCAGCCTAGGAAACTCATCAATGATGGTAGAAAGCTTCTCGTGAAAGTTCTGTTGAGTGAATTTCACTTTACGCATGTAGAATTGACGAAGGCGAGAGATGGCATAACCCTTGTGGACAACAGTTGGGGTCTGACGCTGGGTGCGGGAGAGGATGATGTCAATGAAGTCCTTCCCACTGGGGACAACAGTGATCTTCTTGAAGTTGTATTGCACCATTGTTCAGGTTTCTGTTTACAATGCAGAACATAAAAATGAATTGGAAAAGTATTAGGGAGGGGACTAGTGCTGGAAAAGATACAGTTTATGTTGTTGAATATTTATCAAATAGTTCATATCAATAAATGATTAAAACATTTGATTCACATTGGACTCAGCAACTGGTCCATGAAATGGCAAGCATATTAGTTCTACAATGGTACAAGAATTGTTTCATGAGTAGAACAGAAAGCAGAATTACATGTAATCAAACTTCAGAGAAAGTAAAAAAAAAAAGTCAAATGAAATAAAATGATTTTTCCCTACTGAAATTGGTAAGAGAAACAATACATGCTTGAATATTAGTATATTACAAACATGGAGAATATACTCATCAAACAACAAGGAACCAATAACCTGTTTCAGTCCAATAAAAAACCTAAAAAGGTCAAGTATTCACAAAAATAGAGACAAAAAGAAAGAATTAGATCCAAACCTAGGCGTGGCAAAGGGATAGGATGTGTTGGGCTGGGTGCTAACCCACCCATTAATGACCAACACCCACTAGTGACCCATTATAAATGCTTGTTAGTGGGCCACAACCCACCCTGACCCTCACCCACCCTTACCAACCAATATTGACCCACTTACCCAAAGTAGATATCTTTTTTTTTCTTGCATTTCTCTACTTCAAATACCACAACTGGTGCAAAATTACCAAAAAAAAACTAAAAAATAAAGAAAAAAGTCAGAAAATTCCAAAAAAAATGCCAAAAATTTAAAAAAATATTAAACATAATGTTAATAAAAATATAAACTTAAAATTTAAAATAAATGATTTAAAAAACCTATTATCTAAAATTAAAATACATAAACATAACATGTAAAATGTATTCAAATGAAAATTTAAAAATAAAAGCAAACATATAAAGCATTTTCAAGCATGT